GTTCATCGGTTTTAGCAGTTCAATCAACGGCAAGCTTTCTTTCAAACTGTAAAATTATCGATTTACGGTAATTGATTTTAGTGTTGTTGGTAATAGAAACTGTCAGAGATCCCTTTGTGACTCCTCACAACGGAAGAACGTAATGGCTTCAAATCCGATTATTAAAGTTGACAAGATTCATTCACTCATACACACAAATGTTTTTCTAATTTTAGGGTTGGTGTCTCAGGAAAATTTATGGTGGGACAAGCAGTTGCCAGCAGATTTCCTGTCTCTTTTCATGCAGCTATATATCACAGTACTGCTAAAGGATGAAAAGTAAAAAACTATCAATTATTCTTCATCGTGAAATGCCATGTTCAATTCAAAATTGATGACGAACGGAAGAAATTTGAAAATCTGGCCAGTACATGTTTTCGAATATCTGAACTTGATTGTCTAAAACAAGTTCATCGACTTTTATTGACATCTCTATCCCCAATTTGTAAGAAGGAGCTCGTATTCACTGCGAAGCAATTTTCCTAAACCAAATGACGCTCAAAATTAATGTTGATTTTCTTACCAGATCTCGTGCCCAGATAGACAGGATTTTGGTTGACAATCCCAAACCACTGGGTAAATTCTATCGGTAAGATCCAGAAAATCAGTTGCCACAGCATTAATCGCAAGCATTTCACCAGAACCCGGTATCGTAAAGTTGTCAGTTGACAGATGTTTTCTGATAGATTTTCAACAAGCGAACAAATAAAATCGAGACTAATTTATTAATTTCCAGATATGGAAATTTTGCTTCTTTTCAATTCGATTATTCTCATTATTATTACTAATAGTTCTTTGAGTGAGAATCTTTGAATTTTTGCATGGATTACCAGGATGAACGAGTCACAAGTCGAATAATCAGAGATATCGTTCAAACCGTTCAAACCGTTTTATCACTTCAAGTGCCTTCACAGACCTTTCTCACCGTTGAGAACTGTTTTCAAATTTGGAACGTAACCTCACCGCTCAGCGAACTTTATGAAAATTACGCATGGACGCCATCTATGCGCACGCTCTACGAACTAAGCTACGAGGTTACCTGAAACGCACTCATTTTTCCACATTCAAATTCCCCACCCAACGTACAAAGGCGCATGGAATCCACCAGGCGAGATGTGGGTCCAACTGCCACGACATTTTTTTCTTTGGAATTTACACGTGATTACCAAGTAGATTCTAAGGCAAGGTTATTTGTTCAATTTCTTGGTTGGTAAACCACGGTTTTCTCGAAGATTGTTCCACACCAGTTCTCTAGGCCCGTTAGAGTAAGTGACTTAGACAAGTTCAATTATTTTAGTACGAAATCCATGTTGGATCACTGCATCAATGGCACATTATGCTTCGCCGACAAAAAATAAGAATTGAGAATCCATTAGAATTCATTTTTTGGACCTCAGAGACGCAGTTGGTAAATTACAGAAAGGTAAATCGCCATACTTTCTCACAATCTCGGCTCTGGATCATGCATTCTTCACGTTTTGACAGGTTTACGCGGATCATCCAACGACTCACAGGCTATTTTGGAAAAAACTCTCTGTTCTTTTATCTTTTTGACTCAGTAGTCACCAAGGTGTCATATTGTCTCCATTTCTATTTTCCGCATTTTAGCCTGTTTCTTTCATCCATTTGGTTATAAAATAAGTCGATGAGAGTTTGCAAAAATTACTTATTTGGATGAGTCATTTCCTCCTGTTCTGCAAAGTACTACACCGTAAAAAAAATTCGCTGATTCTTGATGCATGCATGCATTTTCCATGATTCCTTCCAAAACAACAAATAATATTTTTGTCCTCAAAAAATTGTTCACAATGCGCTATCTTAATTGGCATTTTACGACACAATGAAACCCCAGAAAGGTATTCACCTTATCCATCCAGTTACCATCCAACGTATTTAAAACAAATCTGAGTGGTTTTGAGTGAAATCTCACCTGACGGTACATAATGATGCCCACGAGTATTTCGGATAAGACATCCGTATGCAATAACGGTGGCTTCCAAACCCTCACGGTAGCCATTCCTCGCTAAACCTGTACGTAAATTTGAGTTCATGCAATATGTAATGATTGAACCTCTACGAAAATCATTTAGCTATAACTTTTGACAAAACAAGTTTTATTTATACCACCACAACGTCATTTAGCACATGCACATACATCCTTGGGTGCCGTCAAGCAAATATTCCATTCGAAATGACCACATTTGCATACT